AATACAATTATCCTCTGCACATTTAATCCGTTAACTGTGGAATTTAGTTTCAAAAATCTCTCGAAAATCTATTTCAATGAAAAACCAAAGCAAAATAGAGAAGCATTATATTGTTCGCCAGAACAGGCAATCAGTATCGCTTCAAGTTTTATGATGACGCCTGTACTCGTCAAACGCATTTAACTGGTTAAATGAACAAAATATTCATCGAATATTAATAATCTACCATTCCACGTGACACCGCCTAAACCATCCTCTTCCGAGTTGTCAACAGAATTCGATCACTTCGATCTAAAAGAATCGCCGCTCGAACCATGGCGATCTTTAAAACTCGAGCAAATTGGCGAGCCGACGAGATGATTTGGTAGAATCGCACGATTTATAGGACGGCAACAGGTCCCCGGCGCGGGGCAGGTGCAACGTGGGTTCCTTCATCTCGGTTGAAAATGATTCATTACGGGTAAGAGTGTACGTAATTACGCGGCGATCCGAAACGCGGCCGAAGCGTGTGGGTGCGCGTCGCTGTGATAGGAGGTAGGAAGATTTATTAGACGCGAGGCGACCACCGCGTGATATAAAGTCCGGGGCGGTAGGTGTTCTGGAAAAAAAAAGAAGGTCTTCCGGGCTGGCATGGTCCGGCCGCTAGTAATTCTCTTGCCCGGCTGGTCGTCAGTCGCGCCAGAGATGTATCCTCGGGAAGTCTATTGACGTCGGCGATCCAGCTGGAGGAGACTCAGGGAACGTCCTCTATCTCTCGCGTCGAACGCAACTGCGCCGCCTGTGACAATTCATTAAGAGACAGAAGCGAAATCCAGGGGAGGATTTCTTACGGGTGTAACACACGTTCGGTCGGTCTTTCTCCTTGCGCGATCCTAGGTCCGTGCTTCTTTCGTCGCTCATTGCCGCTAGAGATCGTTTGTTCCTCGCCGCCCTTACATGGACCTTTCGCGAATCACGTTTACGCGCCACGGTGCTTCTATCTGGTTCTTTCGCGATATTTTCACTGTATGCCTTCGTGTCGCTTAACTCGCGAGATGGTGGGGGAACTCTATCTTCGATTTCTCGAATGTGCACGCTGACTTCGATGTCGATCCCGAGTGTCTCCGTAGTAATCATACTTTGTTTGTTGCTATGAGTACTCTTTTAGTTGTTTTTAGTGCCGAGGTTACGGAGTATCGAACGAAAGAATAATTCGACGCAAAGATTCGGGGCGAGGGAATGTTTTATTTTTATAATTGGATTTTTGGGATTGGAGGAATTTGTGTTTAGGAGATTGTGTTTTGAACGTGTAATTATAATATTTCTCTTCTCTTCGAGTATTGTTTGTTCGTTAAACACTGAGTAACTCGTTGTTCACCAGGTTGTCGATAAGTAATTTTAATAACGGTAATCTCCTACTATATGATTGATTTCTTCACTGTGATCGACACAGCTACTTTATTCTTAATAATTTATCAGGAAAAACAATTTTGATGCACATTCTATGTGCATACATACTACAAAAATTAACGACTGACAATGTGAAAGTATTATTTAATTTATATTTAAAACAAATAGATAATACTTAGATTTTTTAGATTTAGTTACAAATCTTCGTCACGAATCCGACGCGATATTGTAGGTCAAAGGGTTAATATCGGTTTACACGTATTCTTTTATATTAAACTCCTCCAGTGATCTCGTGAAACAATTTTATTTGTCAAATGAATTCGCGACGCAACGTAGGATGACGAATTTGTTTGTTGCAAACGCACTTATCGTGAAACTACATCCAAACACTGAATTCTTCTCTATGGTAACGCGACACCGATTCTCATCAATATCCCGAGACAAATATCGCCGCAGGAATTCGAGAAGATGGAGCGTTCTGTATCGAGACGCAACGCGTCGAAGAAGTTATTCTCGGAATGACGGACATTTTTGATGCTGCATTCCTCCTGCGAACTTTTCTTTATTTATTACACCATAAATGTTTCCGACGTGTAAAATTAAATTCTCGAACTATTCGCCTCTTCTTGATTTAATATTATATCTCACATTTTTTCTCCACCGTTCTGACGCTCCTCGCGCGGCACCTCGCGTCGCGTTACATTTTCGCTGAAACGTTGCTCGCCGAGAGTTAGGTACCCTATAAACATAAGGTGTTTGTTGAGCTTAAAAAAAGAACAAGGAATTATTATAACTCCAAGACATTTGCACACATTTTCGTACTATAGAGTAAATCGGGGAGGGATGTCCCACTTATCTGAACCCCTTGCCTTGCGATTTCTTTCTGAACTGTGATCGATCTAACTACTTTGTTATTAACAATTTATTGAAAATAACAGAAAATTTCAGTGTCATTCTATGACAACGTCTGCTCCAAGGTATACTCATTGATAACAGAGGAATAATATGTAATTTTCATTCAAACAAATTCAATAATATGTTTGTTAAATTCTATTTGAAATGTTCACCACGAGTCTGACACGATATTGTGGGGCAAGGGGCCAACCTTTAAGTATAGAAGCCTGAAAATTACCGATTAACGATAAATATTCTCGTTTATATAATAATAGTATCAACTATATAACAAAAATTTCACTGGTTTTCAGATTCGCGATACTTTATACAGAAGTCTGTGAGATCTCGAGTCCTAACTATTGCATCATAACTATCATTAATACCTAACAAAAAATATATATTTATGAAAGCAAGTGGGGAGCAATTAAATAGGCTTCTGTGCGAGATACAATACACCACTGAAAACGATTGAAAATACAAATATTCGACGATCTAAATGGAATAGATCCATCTCACCCTAGATTAATTACCCTATACATATACGACATCGTACACACTTAGCATACAGAGAAATACGTATAGAAGTACGTTCGTACACGTACAACACACAGCTGAAGTCGTTCATTTTAGTTCTCCGTGTAACGATTGCGACGAATTCCCCGGTAATGCGCTGATTTAGTTTCTATATAAGCCCACGGTGAATTTAAACGTGAAAATGGGATTCGCCGAGTCATTCTATAAATGAACGTTTAATGTTATTGGTATCAGTGCATCAACCGAGTTAAACATTTGGAAATGGTTTGGGAGGAAGAGGAGGTAGAAACCACGTGGCAGGAGGTGTCGACCTTTTACAGACACGGATTGAAGACTGTTACTTGCAGTCCGTACGATTCCGCTGTGCGTGGACCGATCTGTTACATCAGGCACAATCCGGAGAACGAGGAAACGCCGCCGGGACTCGATTTCGCTCCGTTAATTTTTCAGAGTCTTTACTACGTGCAAACGAAAAAAGGTTTCAGAGCTCAGGAAAACTATATCTAGTCAATAGTTAACCCGTCCACTGTCACGAATTACATTTCTTTCAAACACTAATTGGTAATTACGCTGATCGTATTGTTGGGACACTGCAACGCGGCAACTCTAGCGAACTGTTCATTTGTCAATTCATTTGTCGAGTCGCACTGTCGAACACGCTGTCGCGGTGATTATTATGCTTCAAACGAGAAAATGGAAACGAGACCGCTTCGACGGATACATTGTCGATCAAAAGTTTGGGACCAATGCATTGGTTATAAGAAAAAGTGCCATTTTTTGTAAACAATTTTTATTGGAGAATTGTTGTGTATGGTTATGTAAGTAACAGTAAAGATATATAATTTTCGATTATTTTATTTTATATATTTAGAAGATATATATAATTTTTACATTTGTGAAATTATATACCAAATGGCCCAAAAATTTTGACCGACAGTGTATTTTTACCATCACGCATTTCATTGAGGTTCCATTTTACGATTTGCTGCGTAACGCGTAACGCTTTTGCAAATGCTACTAGACAACGAAATGATTTAATAATAGGACCGTTTCATGTTCCTTTAAGGGGAAGTGTTCAACGTGAGTTGCACACATGGATCGTACATGTCCACGTTGATATTGTTTTAATACCAGGACGTGAAAGTGATAGAACATGTATGAAAAGTGACGTAAATGTACATTCGGTGAAGAGTGCGAATAATATTACATGTACAAGGTGTCCTATAATTTGTGGTTGAACAGCAGGGCGTGATTCTACGTGGAAAACTATCAATAATTTCGATTCAGTTTTATTTAATGAATGAACTGTTTATTAATAATTTCGATTCAAACAGTTGTTTTCATTTGAGGCATCGGTTTCGAGAAAATTGAGTGCGAAGATTTAAGTAAACACTGATCACTTGATCATATACTTATATTCGAATGACGAAATGAAATTAACATAAGTTTATGACATCAGCAAATACGAGTAAAAATGTATAGTAAGATTTTGTATTTAAAATATTGAACGTCTTTTGTTAGTGGTCGGTCGAATAAGTGCTGAAGAAATGTTCAAACTAGAATTTTTCGGAAACGAGATTTTAAACGATTTTAAACACTTTATTGTATATTTTCATATAAAATAATTTTCTGCTGATTATACGACGTATTGTATAACCGAGACAACCAAGTGCAAGTAAATTTTACAAACATTCAATCGTGATTTTCTCAAGAAGGTTTCAAATGAACAAATCTACTTCTTTTTCTAACTTTTCATACAGAATCACCTCTTCTTGGTTTTATCACCATCGCATGGACACCTTGTATACATTTGTAAGACACCGTATCCATTCTCTAAGATTTTAACAGTCACAACTATCAAGTATTTTAGAAACATAGAAATTAAATTACATTAATTATCGTTAATTAAATTAACAAGTTAAAAATATAATGAAACAATTTTTTCTTTAGGATCAACTGTTGTAAGGGTTCCATAATTTAGAAATTTGTTAATTTTTTAAAGTATTAATGAACGGATATGTTGAATATTATTTAATATTTCCAATCCTTGTCCATACGAGTATTTTAACATGTGAAATAATACATCTTTTAAATATTTTCTGAATTGCACATGTTATTCATACCACACGCAAAACCAGTTTTATCGCTGAAAAAAATTACTTAGATGGTTTTTATACTTTCAGCCGAAGTAAAGATGCCGAGTGGGAACATGGACAAACCAGTCATCGAAGATAATCATGACGGAACGGTGTCCATTAGATATGATCCAAGAGAAGAAGGACAGCACGAAGTTGTTGTAAAATTCAATGGTGTTCATGTTCAAGGTTTGTTAAATCTTTCAACTTTTTAAATTAGAGTAAAATTCCGATGCCCCAAAAATTTGTCACGTAATTTTAGAAATATTTGAGTAATATTTTGCATAAAACAACATTTGTATAAGTAAATGATAAGATTGCGGTTATAGGAAGTCTAATATAACATTACATGAAAAAAGGGATAGTAATTTTTCACTATGAATTTCGAAGTTAAATGACAATTTTTTACGTAGGACATTGTTGTACATTCTTTGTCTATATGTTAAAGGTACTTGCGTAAATATTTTACATAGAAGCAAAAATACAAAATTATATTTTCATATTACCGAAGTAAAAATATAATAGTAATCTTTAAAGTATAATCTATAATGTCGCGATACATTATATACAAAATTTTTGACAAATTTTAATTAATAAAGTCCCCTTCGATTACTTGACTTTATTTTAATATCTATGTAATTTATTACAAATCTATTAGAAAGTCCATTTTATAAGTTGTAATGAATATTACGACGCTGACAGCTGCCAGAATTTACATCGAACTTACGGGGAATATATTGCGACCGGCCGTGCCAAAAGCAAATGAGAATAATTTGATCTGTTACTTTGAAGCTTGAAAGTGTGTCATACCAGAGACGTTTATTTATGACATGCAACGAAGTTTTTCAGATTAAAATCATTAAGGATTCATCGATTCTGATTAAGATTGTTGCGGATCAAAATCACGATAAAAAGGACTTGCTTCAATTTTATACTTTTCAAAAATAATGAATTACTTTTTGATTATTCAATTATCTTTTCCATTTTTCATAAAAGAAAAAGTGTAAAATAGTCTCCTTTTTCTAGACACTCGTTCACTGAACGTTTTCCAATCTCATTTCTAATCTTTTAATCTAATTTCTAATCGTCTCTGATTATCCCTGATTATCTTCTTCTCTCCCACTTTTCATCCCTATTTCTTAGTTTTAATTCTCTTTACTTTTTGTACTGAGTCATCTGATTCTCTGTAGTCTCTCAAATATATTCACAATTATCTTCTGCACTTCGTATATTCATACTGTTTCCTGTATCATAATTCCGTCCACTTTTTCTTCTTTCTCTACACTATCCTCCTCAGTCTCATTTCTGATTCGTGTTACTATTTCTCCCATTACTCCTCTTATTTATCCACCCTACTTGGCACTTGCCATTTCTATTTAAATTCCTTTGCTGTGCGTTGCAACTAGCCGTGCTACATTCCAGACACCTATTTTTATACTTCATCTCGTTTTTTGAACTTCTTCCTTTTCCTTCCCCTTCTCTAAGTTTACACCTTTCTTTTCCGCCGTCTTTATTCCATCTATTCTTCAGTATTTGCTTAACTTCATACCATTTTCAACGTTGAACCTCCGTCCACACCCTTATACCGATTAACTATATCAATTCTCATATTTTTTCACTTCTTTTTGCCCTCTGTCTTCACCGTTACTATATTCTCCAACAGATTGTTGCTTTAACACGTTGACTATCACGAGAATCTTGAGCGTTCTATACAGAGTGTCTCAGAATAAGTGGGAAATATTTCGGGGGTGGCTTCGGCATATTAAAACGATAAAAAACGTTCAGATAAACATGCCTCATTTGACCTACTTTCCGAAATACAGCGAATTAAAGTTTTGACAAACTATATCAACGCTCTTGGTATAAACGGAGATAGTTGACCGAATTCCATCGAGCTATTTACAAATAGAGCTCGATATCTTATACAATTATGCTATGTAAACACTACCGCTTACAATTAGTACACCGTATGATCTCAAGAAATCGCGAGAAGCATTGATTAGGTGTTAGACTATTGCGATATGTTGCGTGTAAAGTGAACATGGGAAGTTATTCGAATGAAGAAATGGCAGACATGCATTTAACACATTCCATGCCATCAGAAATTTCGATTATATCTTGCTCGCGAAGTGCACTGATTTTTTAAATGAAATATTATGTTACATTCAAGTTTTTGGTGACTTTTACATATATTTTGATATCATTTCTTTACGTTTTCGTTGTTTCGCAACGTGTATCGCTATTCTTTGCCAATATGTCTCACAAAAAATGTTTCCTTGCAAAAATCACGCGTGTACCACGAAGGGTACACGCAGCAAGGAACGTTGTAAATGACCGTTTGTAAAATTTGATTTAAAATTCTCTATATTATTTCGTCCATTTAATTTTTTATCAATCCAGAAAAATTTGCTTGCTCAATTTTGTTTGCCTTCATTTTATAACTAATTAGTTGGTTAGAGTGGAAATATTATTATATATATAAAGTGCTGGTACGTTTACTGTTAACGTATGGGCTATAATGTACCCGCGTAAAAGTAATTCCGCGTAAATGGAGAGACGGGTGTATTATCATTCATAGCTTATACAGGTATGACAGATTTTAGATAAATGTATATAATTTTCCACTATAAGAGAAACTTTCATTTTTTACTATGGAGTACTGCAGAATTTTACTGCAACATTGCAACCCCTATGGAAGAGTCGCCTCTGCATGGCTGTCTATTTCCTGAATCGTTGTAATATATGCTGTCTCGACTAGAAGCAAGCTTATAAGAGAAATCAATTTCTTGATGTCTTCTTGTTTAATTCTTTGTTAGGTTCTCCGTTTAAATTTCACGTGGATTCCCTGGCGAGTGGTTATGTGACGGCGTACGGGCCAGGTTTGGTGTACGGCGTATGCGGTGAACCAGGAAATTTCGTAATATCGACAAAAGGAGCTGGAGCAGGCGGCCTTTCTTTGGCGGTGGAAGGCCCTAGTAAAGCAGAAATATCTTGCCATGACAATAAGGATGGAACCGTTTCCGTGTCGTACCTCCCGACTGCTCCAGGGGAATACAAAATTAGTGTGAAATTCGGAGATAAGCATATAAAGGGCAGCCCGTATGTTGCGAAGATCACCGGTACATTCATTTATTTCTATAGATATTTCTTTTACTAACCTGTGTAACATACACCTCCATCGTATGTCATTTGATTTGTATGTAATATATTAGACGACAATACATATCGATTAATTTCTCTGTGGTTTTCTTACTGTGAGAAGTCTAACCGTAACATCTTACTAACTAATAATTCATTTAGCTTTCATTCTTTTCATTCACGTTCACTAAGCATTTTATCTAGACTAGCCTCAATTCTAACTGTGTATGGACGAATTTTTCACAGTTTTCAACGTATAGACAAACTCGAATCAAGCTAACTGCACGCTTATGTAATTCAATGTTTTGTGCCACCTGAACATTTTACATCTCTCTACATTCATTCGTGAAATATTCGGAGCTAAGGTGATCCGTGATAATTGATGAAAGCTGTTTCACGGAACACTCGGTATTATACTGTTTCCGTTTACAGAGATATGTAGTGGTAGATACATTTTACGTCTTTAAATATATTTGTTTTTTAATTGTATCGTGAGAAATGTGATGAATTAATCGAAGGAAATGATACTCTTTATTATTAAAATTATTTTTATATGTTATTAAATGTTAATGAAATTTCTTATATAGCATTTGAGGTACTGCTGCCGGAGTATTTGTGATAATGAGCGATATTCGAGACATTTCTTCGTATTTGTGTCATTATGGGAATAGGAAGCATAAAAACATACACTGTGTACCAATTGCTTTCGATATGCAGCTTGTGTTAACTAGAACTATGCGTGTTATTTGAGGAAATGTTGTTTAAAGTATTTCAAAGTCGTATTCTTTTGGAAAACTGAGTTTTGAACAGAACAATTGTCTTCTCGGAGTGATAGATGTGAGTGACATTATACGCATACATACATACATATATATATGTATACATACATATGTCTGATCATAAGTGCTTTTCCTATTATATATGTGTGTAATAGATGTTGCCTATTCGTAGCTTGTAGGTACATTTACTTATTTACACGTTAATCCTCAGAATGCGAACGCTTTTAAAGACTTCATGAACAGCGAAGTCTTTTACCATTGAAATTGTTACTTGTTAACTTTTTTAGAGATTTTTTCGAACATAAGGTAAATAGTACCAATAAGTAATCAATTAAGGTTATATAATTATAAATATAAATATAAACATTTAATTTCATTAAGTTATATAGTAACTAAATATTTATATTTATATTTATATACAAACATATGTATGTTTATATCATAAATATACTGTTCTTATAACTGGAGCTGGTTAGTTATTGGTACATTTACTTTATAAATGGGTGAAAAGTTAAAGGCTTTAAAAATGTGGGTCAACATTGACTCAGGATACGCTGTCCGAGGGTTAAGAATTTTCATTTTTCATATACAACTATCGTTTATCCCTATTACATGCTATTTTCACTTTTTCATGCTGCCTGAAATTGTTCGTTGTGCTATATAACAGTGATTCTGCTGTTACTAAACATTTTTTTATTATAAAATATATCGAAAAGATCAAGGTCATAGAATTAACAATAAAAATGTACAGTAACATGATTTCCAGATTATATGACAATGAAAAAAGAGATGATTAACCCTAATCGTACCACGTGTTTTTATATCGAATCATACCATGATGTAACTCTTTGTCACTTATCAGAATCAAAGGAATGTTTAAAATGTTATTATTTTTGTTTATAGGGTCCAAATTTTAAAAACCGAAATAAACTTTTGGAAATGCAATATGAAATAATAAAAAAATTTAAGTAAAAAGTTCAAATGTGACTAAAAGTCACATCGTGGTCCTATTAGGGTTAATGAAGAAAGAAAATATTAATCTCAGATAAATTTTATATTCGTAATATTTGTAACGAGTTCACAGAATATTAGTGTCCAAGGAATACCAACTGAGAATTGCTGTTATACATATGTTTGTCTCGTTTTTTTTTATAAAAGAGTGTAATAATAAGTAATAGTAAAAGTATGAAAACTCAGTATAATCAGAAAAATTCATCTTTGTTTTTATGTGGCCTCCTTTTCATGCGTTCGAATTAGTCCGATGATTTTCCAAAGTTATACCCTTACTTAGAAGTAGAGTTGTAGAGTTTTAGTCTTAATTTAAATTTTATTTTATATTTTGTTTTATTATTATTTTTGTAATCTGTATTATTACATTGTATGCCTAAATCGCTTGTCAAACACAAGCGATGGTTTTATCATGCATGTTTAAGCAACAACTTTCCTTTGAGCTTTCTTTCTCAATCTTTGCTCTCATTCTTTCTATATATTAATTTTGTTACTCATTTCATACAGAGTTTACAAATAATCGTTATACCAACAGAAAGGAAAAAAATTAATCGAAATTGCAGAATAAAGTTTATATATGTGAGAACTTCCCACAAAATTTAGAAATCTTTTATACGACTATCTTGCAGGGATAATTTTTTTATAAAACTATATTATATAATCTTTTTGTCTGATATTTTACAAATATTTTACCATACAATTTTATTTCACAATTTCGATTTTTTCATGATGATGTATATTTATTTTCCCCGAGTGTACTATACTATATCTAACAGGACACCCTGTATATTCACAGTCAACAATGAACGTTGCCATATATTATTCAATTAATTTGCAATTCTTCTGTCCTGAAACACTTATAAAATGATAATTACTCACTCAAACCTTTCACAGTTTAATTTAAACAACCGAGATTGGTGATGTTCTGCACTGTTATTTCCAATAATATTGGATATTTTGCATACTTTATTTTTCTGTTCTTTTCAATAGTCTATTTTCGTAAACTGATAAAATAACAATGACTTATTAATTTAAATGCTAGATAAATAATATTTATTTTGTAATACATTTTCACACCTTTATTTTTATACTATATCCAATATTATAAAGAATTTCAAATTAATTTTGAACATCTTACAAAAAAGAATAAAACAATACATTATTCACGATATCAGAAAAAAGTAAAAATAAGAAAACATAATTAAACGTTGTTTCTCAACAAACTGTGAAAGGCCCAAATAATATATATATTTTCACCCTCATCAAATAATAATATTATTACAATTATTATTACTAATTTGAAACTGATGCAACCACTTCGCATTTAATAATGCAATTCTATTTCTTATGGTACGTTCTAAAGAAAACAATTTATAATTCAATTTACCACCGCTTACACCATACGGACAAACGGAAACAGACCCTTCATTACAAACTTTCTTCTACCTTCCCCAGGTGAGGGTCGAAAACGAAACCAAATCTCAGTGGGCGCGTCCAGTGAGGTTCAATTACCAGGAAAGGTAACCGATTCCGACATAAGATCCCTGAACGCGTCGATCACAGCGCCGAGTGGCCTCGAGGAACCCTGCTTCCTGAAAATGTCACCGAACGGAAACATGTGCGTCTCTTTCACGCCCCGCGAGGCGGGCGAGCACACGGTCGCCGTGAAAAAGCTGGGCAACCATATCCAAAACTCTCCGTTCAAAATCAGCGTGTCCGACCGCGAAGTAGGCGACGCGAAGAAGGTGAAGGTGTCCGGATCCGGCTTGAAAGAGGGAAAAACCCACGTGGAGAACACATTCTCGATTGACACGAGAAACGCTGGTTTCGGCGGTCTGTCCTTATCAATAGAAGGCCCTAGCAAAGCAGAGATCCAATGCAAGGACAACGAAGACGGTACTCTGAACATCTTCTACAAGCCCACGGAGCCAGGTTACTACATCATGAACTTGAAGTACGCTGATCACCACGTGGAGGGATCGCCTTTCACCGTGAAGGTGTCCGGAGAAGGTAGCAACCGCCAGAGAGAGAAGATTCAAAGACAAAGGGAAGCCGTGCCCATTACCGAAGTGGGCAGCCAGTGCAAGCTAACCTTCAAGATGCCAGGCATCACGTCCTTCGATTTGGCAGCCACCGTCACTTCTCCAGGAGGGGTGACCGAGGATGCTGAGGTCAAAGAGGTCGAAGATGGTCTGTACGCAGTGGCCTTCGTGCCTAAGGAACTCGGCGTGCACACCGTGTCCGTGCGCTACAAGGAAATGCACATCCCCGGATCACCGTTCCAGTTCACCGTTGGCCCACTGAGGGATAGCGGAGCGCATAGGGTCCATGCTGGCGGGCCTGGATTGGAAAGGGGTGAACAAGGCGAACCGTGCGAATTCAACGTTTGGACCAGAGAGGCTGGAGCGGGAACTCTGGCTATTTCGGTTGAGGGACCTAGCAAGGCTAAGATCGACTTTAAGGACAGGAAGGATGGTAGCTGTTATGTTAGCTACGTTGTCTCGGAACCTGGTAAGTTTTTATGTTTTTTGAGTTTTTGGGCGCATAATATGTGTTACATGTTATATTGATGACCTTTTACGTGCGATTCATATAACGGAATAATGAAGTAGAAAATAGAATGTGGAACATTTGTTATTCAACATTCAAGCCGTTGATATGCAATTTGCAATTTTCAACTTCTGACACACGGGTCATAATGAAAATAATAACATTACAATCGTTTCCAATTTGGAAGTGATGAATTGTGTATTATAAGTACTTCCGTGTTAATACATTATTACATAATTAATTATTGCTAATTATATTTAATCATATAAATATATTAAATATTATATTGTTATCATTGATATAGGGTAATAACCGCATATTATGCTTCGTATTTCATTCTGTTAGGTTTTATTGTAAATAAATCAGGTGACAAATGTGATTTATATAAATATAATTAATTAAATTCTGTATTTCGTTAATAACTTTAAAAAAATTTGCGAATATCGGAATATTAAAATTGGAGAAGCTTCTAAAATTTATTAAACGTATGTTTAAATCAATAAAATAGTTCAATAAATTTTGATAAAAATTTTACATGGTATCTAATTATTAATTTTAAATATAAAATTCATTAACAAATGAATGATCGCCATAATTGCGACTTTTGAAATACTAATTAGAACCTATTCTTGTAATATTCTCTAGTGATCCTTTAAGTTTAAATAATTCATTACTAATACAGTAATAAAGTGCCAGCAATATGACAATTATGAAATATATTGACACAAATCGGCATTCAAGTGTCATTTAAAGTATGGATGTTCGCCAAGACAGATTTATTTATCGAACAAGTAACCATTGATTTTCCAATGACATTCTCTCACTTGAACTCTGTATTTAACTTGTATTTAACAAGATAAAGATCATTTACCTTTAGAAGGTATTCTCTAAAATAATATTTCATTAATCGATAAGAATGATAATAAAAAATCAAATCTATAAATTATATTTTCTTTTATTTCGGGAATTTTGAATAAAAATTTAGTGAGTGAAGTTATTTCCTCCAGAAGTCAACTATTAAAAAGATATAAATTTGTGTACAATAATTTTTCCTTTGATTTCAATAATGCCATTATTTTATCAGAAGGGATAATTATTCATTGTCATGGCTAATTAAAAGACAGATATGCTCATATAATGAATAAAGTATTATATCATAATAACTAAACTACGAATCCTTTGTGAATTTATAAGAAATTTGAAAGTGAAAAATTCCATAGAACGATCATGATTTGAAGAAATGTATAAAATATCCAAAATGTAGTGTTTTTTATAATATTTGTTAAGAAAAATCATTCCCCGTCCTAATTCTGATTTTCTAATTACGTTCTTAAATATTCGAATTTAATAACGATTAAAAATTCGAGTTCATGAAGATCATCATCCTAATAATAACAGTATACTTTAAAATATGGGAAGTTAAGTATCATTATGAGAGTCATCTTCACTGCCATTCGCACTCGCCAAATGATTTTCCATCATGCCAAACTCATGAATGTTCCACATTCGTGTTTCTGGCACTGCTAAACGGTGTAACAACGCACATTCATGAATCAAGCTTAGAGTAAAATCACTGTTGTTATGCAACGTAAACGTTTGTCGCTTTGACATAAAGTTGGGGGCGGGGGTAACACATTCCATGCATCCCTTTACTCGGTAAGTTCAAATATCCATGCTCATGAACCTGAAATAGAGAAAACGATATCACGTTACTGCTATTAAAAACTATTTACAAATTGAAGATAATCTATTCCATTTTTATTGAAAAGGATCACGTTTTAAACCCTTCTTTGTAGAAATTAAATTTTATTTGGAATATGATTCTATCGAACCGTTATAAGTCTGATTCATAACTGATCCTACACTATATACGTTAAAGCAAACATCGAAGACATTTTCCAACTGAAATTACGCAATGGTGGGTACTTCTTGGGCGACAACTTGAAAAGGTCTTCTCTTGTATCTGTCCTAGATGAAATAATGCATCCGCTTATAAATCAAGTAATTCTATTTCTAAATCATAGATTCTGATATTCCGCTTTTCTATGAATACCTCAAATGGATTTAAAAATAATTCTACACTCTGCATTGTACACAATGTTTCTGAAATTAATACGTTCTTTCGTGTGTAATAGATTTCATTTAAATAGCTTAAATGTGATACGTATTGCAAACAGCAAACACACCAAAAACTGGCAATCATCTTTGTTTTCAAATACAAATATATTGAATGAAATAATTTAATTATATTTGTCGTAATAAGTGCAATTATTTGGATCAAAGGTATCCGAAGTGGTCGCGAAAAATGATAAAATGCAATTTACATATTCGTTGAGAGTATTTTACTTATCAAGGATACATATAAATATATATGTATATATATTTATATAAATCACATATAAACATTTTTTTTTATATATATACGTATACATATTATTATTACATATTATTATTTTATGTACAATAAAACTTCGAATTATATAGGTTCCGACTTATCGAGTTTTCGAATTACAAAGACTTAAGAGTTTAAGTTTCCGTAAGAAGATACATTGCAATTGTACAAATTGTAAATCAGTAAAAGTGACAGTAGTAACTTCAACTTATAAGTTGTTATTAAACGGTGATGCTGCAACTTATAAGAAGTTCCTCCCTTCAATTCGAGTTATGAAGGTAAAATGCAGTGATGTTTTGATTAGTCATTTTAATTCAGTAACTAACAACCCGGATAAGTGGAAACTCGAAGGAAAATTCCTCAATTTGTATTTGCAATGTAAGAATGATCTAGATCGCGAGAGCTAGTGATTCGGATAATCGAGGTTCTATTATACGTACTGAACATGAGTAGAACAATTCAAATTTTATTACGAATTATAGACATTTCTATAGCTGAATAAAAGAGAACTTAGAATCTTTTCGAGTTATAGACATTTTCGAGTCATAGAAGTTTGAGATATCGAGATCCGACTCTTTTTCTTTCTACGAAAGGTGCTATATACTTGATAGGTCCAGCAAAGAGTGGGGAAAGGAACTCGAAGCTCAGGAGCTTAGTTTGGACATGCCTAAAGTAGGTCATTCGTGAGCAAGAGCTTCCTTGAAGGCACGCGAGTCAAGCGATGAGTGATATGAACAGCTAAAGCCGTAAAAGAGAGTGTGGAAGGGTTGAATTCTGTGAGTGAGGCTCGTGGAAGGCGTCTACGAAAGTGGAGCCACGTATATGTAACAATACCTCATTCACAAATATTGTTGAAGGATCAAATAGAAAATTATACGACGGAATTCTTAGTTAATTATTCCTCGACTGTTTTCATTGTATAAGTACTTTCGAGAAATAATGTAGGAAAACAATAAAATTAGAATACAGACGTATGCTAAACACTTAATGTATATAAACTGAAGAAAACACTTAATATCCAATAGTAAAAGTACAAAAATACAATTTTTACAATTTTCGCAGTGACAATATTCGATGCACGAATGACAACTACAATATATACATCACAATTGAAATGATCAAATTTAGTCTATCGATCTACATGAATTTAATAACAGCCAAATAAATACCAAGTAATTTCAGAATGTCCCAAACAATTCGAAAACTCGAAACCAATAAACATTTACAGTATAAATACGCGATAATATTCAATACATTCAATTTAATATAACACAATTAGATCACAGTGGGCGAAAACATATCTTTATAAAAATAGAATACACTGTATTTTCCAGTATCAGTATACGAAGATCGTTCTCGGCCATACTAGAAATATCTTCGTCTGTATTTGCGTCCAAACTGAATTCATATTTTGGTGGCTAAGGCTGCAGAATTTGAATTAGCGTAGTTGTTATATTTGGATAGTGTGCATCAAACGCGGCGGGCGAGAGAGACGCGCACTCCAAGGGCAAGAAGGAGAGATATAGAGCGACAGAGCGCGTGCGAGAGAGAGAGAGAGAGAGAGAGAGAGAGGGAAAGAGAGAGAAAAAGAGAGAGAGAGAGAGGACACTTCAAGAACGTGAGAAAACGTGGACGAATCGAAATCAGAAGTTAGAATCAGACTGAGGAAAATAGTGGTTCGCGAACAAGCTGCGTTCAGTCATCCATTTTCTATTCTCCATCCCTTCTTCTTTCATGTTTCGTTTTCTTTCTCCCTTTTATTGGCCGATCTATTCGTAACTTTAACTCTCATTTTTCCTCGTTTTCTCGTTCCCACTTAAATTATCTCGATTTTTCTTCATACTTTCCCGTACTTATTCTATTCGTCGCTAATTAATATATTTAAATTGCCATTTTCTTTTCGTCCATATTCCTTTCGTTCGTTTACATATATATCTTTGAAAGAAATTTGTCGGTTTGAATCGATTTTACCCTTCTCGTCTCGACATATCGGAAATTGACTTTTGGCGGAAACGCGGAAGCAAACGATGGACACTTTCACAGCGACCACGCAGATTATCCTCTCAGGAAACGAATCGAACGGATGCGAGGACAATGGTTAGTCTGAATGGGATGATGGTCGATCAATTAAAGCCGATGAAACGTGTCGTTACACTTTGTACACGTGGCACTTAAACTTCGTATATGGAAACATCGTATTGATCTGTTGTTTTATATTAATTTGTTTTTCTTTTCGTTTGTTTTATTAAAGTCCGAAGGATCGAGGAACTTGGTCGTTATAATCGATTGTTTCTAATTTTCAGGAGACTACCGGGTAGGAATAAAATTCAATGACCAACATATCCCTGACTCGCCGCATAAAGTTTACATATCACCGGCCATGGGAGATGCTCATAAGCTGGAAGTTGCTCAATTCCCAGAATCCGGCGCGCAACCAGACAAGCCAGCCACCTTCCTTGTTCGCAAAAACGGTGCCAAGGGTGAACTCGACGCAAAGGTAACGTTTGTTCCCTCGTACTTATATGTATTTATATCTTTTATCGTGCATTTTAAGAATTCTGTTCTTTTTTAAATCTTCTGATTTTATTATAATAGACCATTAATACTTATATTGATATTGATATTATTGATAATTACATAATCAGTATTAGTAATATTAATAATTATGAATATTAATATAATTTTTGATAATATTACTAATCAATAATGATATTAATAGCTTCTAACTATTAATATGGGACTATTAAATGTGAAATGATGAATGTTTCTAGCATTACTATTTTTCATGGTTTTATTGGGTTTAATGAATTTATGAAACATTTATTGCTTCATTTTTATAACTTTACAAATACTATTCGAATTAATATTCGAAGTACTATTAATATTAATATTATAATTTCGCATTGAGATGTCCATAAAAAAATTAATTGGTTTAAGGATGAAGTTTATAGACAAGGCATGCGTCTCGTGGCATTTATATATTTATACATATCGTATTTCTACAATCTCTTTCATATTTCTATTACGTTCGTGTAATAGAAATTCAGTCGCCGTTCAACGCATTGAAGACAAGATTATTTTAGTTCGAGTAGATTTTATAGCTTTCAATGTTCTTTCAACTTTATTTTGATTTTATTTGAGGAAACATTAGTCATGGTAATGCATTTACCATGTTTATTGTATTTTCATGTTCGGTGGTTTCAGTACAACGCGCGCAGCGACTATAAGAAACTTTATTATCCATCAGTCTAATAGAATTTGGATACATTTTACGATATTTTTATGGGGCAAACAGAATTTTATAGCAAAACGTTTCAAAGACCTTCGGCCTTTATAGAAACTTACATCATTTTAGTGACTAAGTCCTTGCGAAAACTGCGCTTTAAATAACTTCCTCTTGTGAAACTACGACGCCACATCATACTGCGTGGGTGGCAAGTTCCCGTTTTCGTCGTACATAATGGTCACATGTAATTAAATAATTTACTCGTGTTATTGATTATAAATATTTAGAAGAAAGGAGCCGCAATTTATGCACTTTTATCTAACCAGATATTAAATAATGTTTTTTTTTTATATTAGGTGTTAATGTTTCCTAATTATTGCGGCGGAAGAAATACTTCAACAAATTTCTCACTGTATATTGATATTTTTAATATGCTTAATTAGATTTTTTCATTAAAAATAAAAATGTTTAAATTAATAATATTTTTATTTTCATTATTCAATTTTTATTTAATTAGACTGATATCTATGAACTTTCTTTGAATGAAGAATAATCTTTCGTTTTATATTATCTCTACAAACTATATAATTTAGTGCCTTTCCACTTAACCAATTACTAGTCTACTTTAAATTTAAAGATTCTTTCGCCATTTCGGAATTTTCAGTTCTTGTCTCAGAAATGGTACTTTCATAGCCACTCAAAATAATGGCGAACATTTCAATAACTTTTTGTAAATGGATGGTGAATTCCTTTTATAATGAATCGAAATAATTTCTGCACTTAACATTGTTCTATTTTATCTATGTATTGATATTACATCATTATTTTTGTCTACACCTCATTAGTTTAATTGAAAGCCTAATACTAGGTAACTTTACTGTCAAATACTAGATGGTGTTTAAATTATATGGTTTAAAATAATGAGTATATATAATAATAAAGATAATCATTTTGACAACTTTTTTCTACGAAGTTTCAAGTTCATTTAAGAAGGAGTAGGTACTTTTAAAGGGAGAAATACTCTAATAAAAGGATTTCTCTTTCATATTTATATTATTCTAAATTTCAAATTAGTAATGTTTTCTTTTTAACAAGTTTATATATTTTTATTGTACTTTAAAATTCAGTAAAACTACAAACTTAATCAAATATAATAATAAACCTTGAAATTATAATACCATTATTAACTATTCATTTTACTTCTTAAATCGTTAAGTCATTAAAGCCAGATCCTACACAATTAAAGTTAAAATACAGAGGAATACAAATCCTGTTGCTTTCACCAAGCCTTTACAACCACTACATTTGCTCGTAGTCTAATTGGAACAGTGGATTGATTGAAAACGATCGTAGTTCTCAAAAACAAAAAAATTATTTGGTATTATTAAGTGAAGCAATAAATAATATTAGTATTTCGAATATTTATTGAAAAAATTCTATTATTTTGACAGATCGTGTCTCCCAGTGGCACAGAAGATGACTGCTTCATCCAGGCTATCGATACTGACACGTACTCCGTGCGATTTATGGCCCATGAGAACGGTATCCACAATATTCACGTGAAATTCAACGGTGTTCACATAGCTGGCAGTCCATTTCCCGTGAAGGTTGGCAAAGTGGACGCGGACCCAGCTGCGGTGCACGCTTTTGGAAATGGTTTGAAGGATATCAAAACGGGCCAGAAAACAGACTTCATTATTGATACTTGCAATGCTGGCAGCGGGTCGCTCAATGTAACAGTTGACGGACCGAGTAAAGTCGCGATGGACTGTACAGAGGTTGAGGAGGGTTATAAGGTCAGATACACGCCCTTGGTACCCGGTGATTATTACATAAGCGTCAAATACAATGGATACCATATTGTGGGTTCTCCATTCAAAGTGCCGTGTACTGGTTAGTATGTTTCTTACCCTTTTCTCTTAACCCTTCGCCGGCGATGTGGACCGTTTATACGTTGACTGCCACGAGAATTTTTAGCATTTTATACGATGATGCTTATTCTCTAATTGTAATTACATGTTACAGTATTATCTAGTTGTTTATGTTGCTACATACTTTTATTCAACACGAGTTTTCTTATTGTAAATATTTTCGAGCGATTTGGAAGTTTCAAGACTTCAGGAATACTTTTAATTATTTTTACAGAGGTATGTGAAGATTTCATTGAAGTGTCATTTGTATATTAAATTATAGACTACGAATAGTATGTTAGAATTTGTTCAGATTTTTGCGGAATTCGCATTAATGAAAACTTAAACCTGACTATAATAGGTCCATATTGTCGGCGGATGGTTAATAGTAGAAATAATATTTATTTTACCCAGTTTCCGATAGAATTTACATGTATGAAAAATTTGGAAGAATGAAATGTCATTAAAAGGAAACTACGTGAAAGTGAAAGTATAGTATTTATTATTTTAAAGAATTATCGATAAAATACTACATGAAAAATAGTGTTCGATTAGATTTAATAAGATTAACGCATCGTGCAGAAGTATTATCGAAAAATTATTTAGAAAAATGAATAGGTATGAAATCATTAAAAACGTCTATCTTATGAGGCTTAAATAAATAATAATATTATAAATCTTCAACTTTTTATATATGCTTATATAAAGTTGAATGATTGCAAAATATGTTTCTGGCATAATCCTAAACCTTTTGATCAATTTGCAAAAAATTTTGTGTTATTACTTTTAAGAACATGATTTTTAGAGATTTTCAGAATCCCATAGACATTTCGTATAAATTTGTGTCAGCTAAATACAAATTCTCAATTTTTCTATCTTCCATATATAATTTTTGAAAAATTTAGTTTCGAAGGTTGAATATTTTCAATTTCAAAAATGTTTTCTACTCCAAAAATAAAAGCAATTTATATGCATAGTTGCGTTTCATATAAAACAATTCTATGGAAACCTATCAACAAAATAACTAGAAAAATAATACACTAGAAAAAAGTCTTGTAAATATTCTGGCTATAACGAAATTGTTAATTTATTTTTCGCACAGGAGCCGATCTTGCCGAGAGAGGTGCTCAGGAATCAAGTTCGATTGTTGTTGAGACTGTTCAAAAAATTTCGAAATCTAAACAAACGGGGCCAGTTTTACCATTATTCAAATCAGATGCTAGTAAGGTGACAAGCAAGGGAATGGGTCTGAAGAAAGCATACCTCGGAAAACAAAATCAGTTTGTTGTGAACGCAGGAGATGCTGGTAAAGTATCACAAATATTATTAAATATAGTGTATTAACAACTTTAATAGGCAAATTTCTCATGGTCTGTTATGAAGATTAAATATTATCAACAATAGTCAATGCAATATTCATTGCTGTCACAATATGAAAATATATATTGTTTATATATACTTATTTTGCAACGTTAGAAACATTAGGAATCAATAGAGAATTAGGGAATTGATATGTTTATAATAAAACGGATTATTGTTTTAGTAATTATAATTTTTAGTGGTACACCATTTATGTTATATTCTATAATTAAATGTTATCTGGTTTTTTCTCCTTTTCTTCTTTTATATTAATTTTCATGATATTTCTTATATTATGAAACATTTTGTATAGAGAGAGAGCGATGTAAGACATAATCTTACATACTAAAATAAAATAACAGTGAAAAGTAATAAGATTGCAATGAACGTTCCAATATCAGATAATCACATAATATTTGAAATACCCCTTGAAAGATAGCAACTCGCTAACAGCGCTGTGCATAGGTTACATACATCGATAGGAACGCACGTAAAAACGCGTATACGAACCAAAAAGAAATATTTGAATTTTTGAACTTTAGAAATCTTAAAAAAGAATATTCATATCTTAAAATAATATTGATTATGCTGTATCCACAGGGTATTGACGAAACAAGTTACTATTTTAGTTGAAAATGAAATTAAAATAAAGAAATATGAGACCATAATTTCTGATCAGTAACTTTATTTCAAATATTTTCCACTGAATCCATAATGAGACTTTGATAATGCTATAAATATTGATTTTAAGGAAAGATCTATGAAATGAGTATTACATATCTTTGAAGGAACTATATAATGATTGTTAAAATTTCTTTATTACTTGTACTTTTCAAGCTTTTACCATTTATACTCCTCATAAAAATTATGAATAGAGTTGAACGAAAACTTTCACATTATCAACAAAGAAATCAATATATTTTTGTTCAATAGACAATAAATAAATTACTCTTTAAAACCTACTTGTAATAACATCAAATCGTTTTAATTCAAGTATTTTAGTAGCTTTTTCATTTAAAGATTTTGTGTAATCTAATTATTTATTTCTTTCTACAGGCAATAATATCCTGTATGTTGCGGTCTATGGACCCAAAGGACCATGCGACGAAATCACAATGAAACATACGGGCCGAAACAATTACAACGTAAGCTACATGGTTCGCGAGAGAGGAGAATACATAATTCTCGTGAAATGGGGCGACGAACATATCCCTGGATCGCCTTACAAAGTCGAAGTATAAATAATTATACTTTGCATTATTGTTTCTTTTCATGACGAAACTATAAATTTGTAACATTTTTTCCTGGTATATCGTCCGTTTAATCTATCTTTCATTAATTATATGTTAATTTTAATTATTTTAAGTCTCATAGAGGGAAAGGACGAACGTAAGTCCGTTTTACTGTGAACATCAGTAACACTTTCAACAGTCATTATTTGGGGTTTTATTTTCGATGAATCACGATGAAGCAATCGTTTACTTGATATAACATGTTAAATGCCATATATACTATTCTGTGTAAGAATACTCGCGTAAGAACACGAAGGTGCTATTCTGTTACAAAAAGAAAAGAACGTTATAGCATTGAAGTACTATTTATCGTTAGAAGCCACTTCTAAAATACTAAGCTATCGATGTTGTTAATTTTGTTTGGTTGTTTAGAGGGAAACAATATGTATGAACGAATGTAATGAATTAGGATGATGTATAATTTGTACTTTGCATAATAAGAGTCTCTAGGCATTCGTAATTAAGGATAGTCGACAATATCTGTTGGTGCTTCGTATTGATTAAAACAAATTCCAAATGTTCGAACTAGCAGTCAAAGTACAAACGCAAATTTTCTGTGAAATACTACCTGAAATATGGAATTCAAATAATGTCGGTTTCGTCACGAGAAAAGAGGAATTGTATATTCAAATGCATGCAGGGTGTTCACGAAATCAATGTACAATCTGGTAAGAGATGATACAGCGGACAAAAATAAGTTGAGAACATAGAATAATATTTTTCGTTTGATACGTCCGAGGTAATAACATTTCAAACAATTTCCTTGTTTGGAAAATTAAAAACAATGTTTTTAATTTACTTTTTATGTGGAATTAGTTCTGTCTCGATTGTATTGATATTTTGGGAACACCCTGTATTATATCTGTTACTAAAAGTTGTTAAGGGTGCGTATGGGCCATGAAATATTTTAGAAAGGAATTGCATTGCTTTTCACTTTCTAGCACGCAAATAAACTGCGAGCTAGCTCGATAATAGCGAAATAAGAAAAGTGTTTCGTGTTATTTGAATAATACCACATATTAAGGTGTTTAATTTTTAATCAATATACGGTTCACGTGACTTCTGCTTTAATTTGTATGTTATCACCTACAAACACTGCGATTTCTGGTTAGTTCGTCTGAATCATAGCTGAAAAACAGGTTAAGCGGCAGTGAGAACTGCAAATGATGTATAATGTTAAGCTGAAATCATATGTATGTCAATTATTCATTGAAGAAAACACCAATTGTGCCTTCCATTCTAGTTTAAATTAAATTTATTCTGCTAAAACACGTTATGATGTAATCATATCAAATATTTAAGTATAGATTAAATGCATCGACTATTATAAATAATATAAAATGAAATAAATAATATGTTTATTATGAAGCTTACAGAGTTGTACATTTCCTTTCGCATCATCTGTTGTTGTCGTTCATAAACATATATTCAAAATAATAACCACAGTTCAGAGGTGCTTACTACATAATAGTGTAGCTATTTTACTATTGCATATCAGAATTGTATATTATGTTCAACGATTCGTCCTAAAAGTGTTCATTGTTAATGCAATGATCAATATTTCTAATAAAGAAATATAGTATACCTAAATTTTCCATTCATTTAAGCTTTACAAGTTTAAAAAGTCATAGAAGAAATTGACGGTTATACTTATCATAAAAGTAAATAACTAATTAAAGTTACCATTTGAAAACATAAAGGAAGTTGTGATTAAATCAAAGAATATACATTTTTAGCACATATTATCGAAATAACTTATAAATAGTTTTTGGAAAACGACAATGACCACACAGTAAAAACATAGTTGGAATTTATTTATTATCAAGGGGAACAATTTTTAATAAATGAAGGAAAGAAAACTTGTAATTTTTTATTGTAGATATTTGGGAGAAAACTAAGAAAAATAATAGCAAAAGTGCCACATAGAAATACCATTACAGTGTAGTATATTTTTATTAAATGCAAACACGAAAAGAGTATTTGAAATAAAATTTTAAAAATGATAATAAAGACATTTTAAATGATCATAATGAAAAACATTAACGCTAAATAAAAATAGACAAAAAAAGTTATATATTCCAGAAGTTGCTGCCGATGTTAAACATATCTTGAAAACAATTCAACTAGAAGATATATGAAGAATATTCCGAAAAAAACGTTTACTTTAAACCTATTACATCCAAGTAATAGGTAATTAGTGTTAAAAATTGAGATTAAAAGATCAAAGTTTACAGAAAGATATATGAGCATGAATTTTGTTTTCTTGGAAAAATGTGTTTTTCACGTATGAAAATTAATTCAACATTTGAGATTCAACTGAAAGAGTTTCAATTTACACAAAAAAAGAATTATGTATACAAATTAGCCGCATAAAGTATGATGACAGGTATCTGCAGATTAAATTTATAACAATTTCTTAATAATATGAGTATAAGTACATATACTAATGCAAATTATTGAAATTAAAACCATGTTACGTTTTCACTGTTTCTGTTTCGTAATATTTCTTTTACATAAATAATAATTCAGTCGTTGAATAATATATTAGTATAACCATATTATTGTACGAATAGAGTATTTAAAATTATGTTGAACTGAACGTTGAGATAGTTAATATTAATATTTTCTGCAGACAATGCCAAGGGAAAAATTTTTTCTAAACATTACATTTAGAAAAATCATTGAGACTCTACGACTTTCAGTAAACATTGAAAATCAACGTTTTGTATATAAAATGTTATTTACGACAAAATATTCTTCTGATTCCATTTATTACTGATATCAAATTTTAGTTTTAATTGCAAGTGATTGAAATTTTCATGCCCCTTGAGACCTTGCAAGCATTTCTCGTATAATATATTCGAATAAATGTGAATTTGCTTATTCATCGATCCGTTACTATTTGCGCAAGGTATGAAACCGCTTCCTAATTTTACATTTTCATATACGGTAACGCATCGCAGGTGTTAAAATGATTTCTATATTATTTTATTACGTTCTCCACGTCGTCACTTATACTGTTAATTATTTATAAGTATATACTCTTCGTTTTAGACCTTTCAAAACATAACAAAACTTATCAGATTATAATTTCTAGGGGAAATATTAGTAAATTGCTATCATTAGTAACTTAAAATTAGTAACATAAAAGATGCACATAAACGAAGGTTTTAGTAGATATCTATTTATTACATAGCTATAAGTATATACAGATATTTCAAATATTAATTTCCCTTCTCTACTATGTAAATATTATTTAGAAATAACAAGTTGGGAATTTAGGATATTACATACTGATAATATTTACGTTGAATATATTAAATTGAGTAATTTATAATTTGTATTTTAAAGGGTAAAATAATTTGAAATACAAGCTTTAAGTTACACTGTCTTAAAACTTTAAATTTTCAAAATTTAACGCCTAAATTAATAAATTTAAATAAAAACAATACCATATTAAAAAATAATGTTAAGTATTAGCATGATAATATTTATAAATTGAAATTTAATTATATACACCACTTACCCATGTATTTATATAGGCGCGTAGTTATTTTTTTCATGTAATAAATAATACCCAGCTGGTACAATTTCTTTATGTTTCTCAGTTTTAAATCAAATGCTATATTCTGAAGAAGAACAGAATTATGAGTGAATAATTAACTGTGTGTATTAATAACGACAACCACTGAAGTGTCATACGCAGAGCTTAATAGAACTGCAATACATAGTAGTTTCTAAAAAAAACTTTATTATTTAATTATTTTATGCAAAGATAATTATAACACCAGCCTATGTAAATTTGACAATAAACGGTATGCATATTGTAATTTATATTTTATTTATCAAATGGCACCAGCTATAACACATCGTGCAGTATTGCAGAAACTGTGCTGTGCCAGTAATACTATTAATTAAGAAAAGAAAGAATCCTATGGTTTAGAAATGTAAATACCATTTTTTATTACCAATGTGTTCCTTCTCCATTTTCCATTAAATACTGCTTAAGAATCATTTCGAAAACATAGGATGTAATATTTGTATATAGTACAATTATAAACAACGTAAGTTATCAGTAAATTGACAGTTTTTGCAAGTAATTAGATTTATAAACAAGAAACAAATTTCTGTTCCTGATGTGAACTGTTTCTATGCTGCCTGTGATCGTAAAATAATTATTTAACATAAAAGTGAATGAAGACGTAAAGTTATAAAAAGAAACAAAATAACATACATACTTACACTTGCCCGACTTGAATTGTGAAATATTTATTTCGCTAAATTAAATTTATTTTATAAAATTGAGCCAATCATGTTACCTACCTGTTAAAACAATAAAAGGAAGAAACAATTTAAAGATCTTTATAAGCAATAAATGCATAAAGATTTGAACGTATAGTGATAAGACTAATTTGTTTAATTTCTACACTATTGTTTTTATCGACCTGAAGTATATAATATTGCGACAACTTACGTAGCACTGTAGATGTAACCGTCCTGTGAACATTAATAGTCCCTTCCCAGAAATTGTTAATATGCATCTACACAATTTTCTAATTTTCGTTATCATTTCAGTAAGGATAATACTTCACAAGTTATAAAAATTAATTTTCAAATTCAGAATTGAAAATGGATTTTCAGCAATCATTATTTCAAGTACCCAATAAGCAAGAAAATGTTGTCTTTACAAATTATATGTTTGCAGAAAACATATTTATTGCAGGTGATTCCTTATAGGTAAGTAATTTTTTACTGACAAATTTTATATAATAACAAATATCGAGTATAAGGGTATTAAGGATAATTGTTGTTCGGAAAGTAAAGCTAAAGAAACCTGGATATATTTACATTTAATTTGCCAAATATTTACGTATGTAATTTATTATAAAACGAATAGATAATATTCTGTAGCAAAATTTTTACATAATTATTCTTAGTTACAGAATCAGTACACTCAGAAACATCCAAGATTATTAATTAACCATAACTCTCGAAAAACAATTTAAAAATACCAAACAAAAATATTTCCATCACATTTCATCTCAAAAAAGAAAAAAAAGGAAAAACAAATAAGAATGTTATCAAATTCAACAGCATCATATTCTACAATTCACTCCGTATTATACCTGAAAATACAAAAACGGAACCCCTAGTTGTACCAAAATCTCGATCAAACAGCAACGCATCGTTCATTTACACGTTCTATTCCAATTCCCAACGGTACGCAAAAGTCCAACAACAAAGAGAAGAAAAAAGGAGACCACCTACCGAGATATTATCGAGAACGAAATCGTGAATCAACATAAGGGCAACACGTTTTTTCGTCGGTGGGCAGGAACAAAAATGTAGGAAAACAGGGAAGCAGTGAATCGAAGCATGTGTAGATAAAACAAATGCAACGAGCGGGTTAAATCCGTGATAAAAAGGGGCGTGGAGAGACAGGGAAAGAAAGAGAGAGAGGAGCGCGGACAAAAAAAGGAGGGAAGAAAGAGCAACGCGGGCCACGTCCTGTCCCCTTTTGACTGGCTTGCTCTATTCGTTCTCCGATGAAGTTATTGAAGGTCGTAGGTGGGTAAACCGCTAGGTGGATAGGTGGAAGAGGTCTTCCAAGCTTCGGATCCGGCCCGTTTCGATAGGATGGTAGGCGGTCGCAACCAGTTTCATAGGTGCCTTACGCTCGAGTTCGCAGGCGTCGAAAACGGGTGCTTGACTTGCGCCGTCGTATAGCCACCCGTTTCGCTTTTCCTCGCAGATACACGCCCTTTCTCGCGATCACGCCAACGCCTCCGCCGCCTTCGACACCACCCTTGCTCGCGGCCTCGTCGCGATCCCGACTTCCACTCTCTCAGACGCTCGCAGGATATCGCCGCGGTACCTTCATTTATTTCTTATTCCCTTCTCGTCTACTTATACTATGTTCGCCTTCTTCATCATACATTATCTTCGTTTCACGAGGTTGTTGAACGAAGCGATACGATTCACCGGTATGCTTGTGCTCTGTTCTTACGAAGTTGATCGCCGTTTCCGAATCGTATTTGGTAATATGTTCTTAGAGACCGTGTTTTACGGGTGACAGGAATGTTTAAAGTTGCATGAGAATGAGACGGTAGCGGAAGTTGTACGGTTCTTCTGGGGAACGGAGTTTGTTGCGTTTATGTCGATAGTTTGTGACATCCGTTATGGGATTCGAGGAAGATGTTTGGCAATGTCCCTGTTTGGGATTCGTACTCTGGCTATGTACTTTAGTTGTATTTAGAGTTTGATTGATGGAGCGCTCGTTTTTGGAGGTCAATGATTAATGTAGTTGACGTTGACGAGTTTTATTAGGTGCTTTTGGGAGAACGAAATTATTTATGAAATCATCTGTGTGGTA